ATAGTGTACATCCAATAAGACACATTTATGATACGAAAGAGAGCGTAACCTAGTGCTGTGTCAGGACGTCGAGACAGTCCGTGTACTCCCTGTACTTGCGCCTTGCATTCCCTCTAACTAACTCTGCTTCCTTCCAGATATACAGAGAAGTAGGTAGTGTGTCCTTCCCGTTCCAATGCTGCATTGAACATGACAATGAATTAGCCAATCATAATTTCATGATATGTAACAGCTTTGAAGTAACTAGTGAATCGAAGTACTTATAGTCAAACCATTAAGAAGGGGCCTCCCAATGGGCCATCTTTCCCAACACCAAACCTGGAGTAGGTAGGAGCAACCACCAAGGCTCGCAAACCCTGAGGTGCGACGGCAGGCAACGCATAGCTGTCGATACGTCCATGCTAGGACCGTGCTACCCTAGCTGTACGTTGCTATGTTCTCCCATGGCTGGCGTAGTATGTTAAGGAAAATCCAGCTGATGGTGTTGCCCGATGTGTCCGGGAATAGGAAAGCGCCAAAGAAGTGCCAGAGCCACACTCTAGCGAACCTATCGATCTCAGCCTCATCCATTTATGGGTGCAAGTTATCGAAGCGCTCTGTGATCCATCACGACGAAACACCTGAAGTTTTCTTGAAATTCACCAAAGACAATGAGACGCGATGGATACAGGAAAGCAATGCAAGTATTAAATAGGGTTCAATTGCTTACTTATTTTTTTTGCATCCTCGTCATCCAATGGAAGAAAGCCACAGAACTGAGCCACCAACTGTCTCCACTGATCGTTGCCAACTATACCTGTCACTGGATGTCCCCCCAACCGAAGGCCAAAGATAGCCTTCACGTCATGCATGGTCATGGTCATCTCGCCGCAAGGTAGGTGGAACATGTGGGTCTCAGGCCTCCACCTGTGAGGTTGCATTACGAAAATAGAACGACTGTTACTTACCTTAATTTTGTTATAAGAATGTTTACGGAGAATGAAGGGACTCGCACATGTCTACAGGCGCAGTGAGAAGTGTGGGGTCAAGGGTGAAAGACCGTAGTTGACAACGCGGACAAGCTCAAGGAAGCCAGCACGCCGTATATACGGCGTGTAATGCTCGTCCCATTGGTGCACCCTGTTGTGCCTGCGTGGCCTCAAAGGAGGCAAAGGCACCTCTGTGTCGGTGACGGTCAACATGTGAGCTTGGTGCTTGTCATCGTACTCCACCTCAAGAAGAGGGTACAACTGGTGCTACGTGGGAGGGGCCATCCTGGTATAAATTGATAAACAAAGGGTTAGAACAAACATGATAAATAATACAATATTAAAATTAACATTAAGTAGCATTGCAAAATTTAAACTACATGTTATGCAACAGGAACACAATATGAAAGCACATGTACATATTGAAAGTAACATTAACAAACATATTAAACAACTTCACTAGGAAAATAAGCAAGTTATTTGTATGGACCTGCTGCCCTCATCTTCTATGCTTGCTAGCCTTGTGACCAGGTTCTTTGCAAACAGAGCAAATATTCCTGCCACGGGTCTCGTTGAAGTCTCCTCCTCCGTACATGTCTTCATCGTATCCTCTCATAGCGTCCATGTCCCACTTGAGTCGCTTCTTCTTCCTCCTACCCTTCCATACCTTCATTAGGTCTGGATGCAGCACATAGTCATAACCATTATAAGGGGCCACTGTGTCGGGTCAAGGTATGGCTCGAAGCTCTTCTCCCATATACTAAGGGCATTCGAACGGAGATACAAGGGTGACATGTGTGGCAGACCCTCGAAGTCATATCCACGGACCCTGCAAGCAGTGATCATGTGAGAGCAAGGGGCATGCATGATCTAAGGGACGTTGCAACTGCGCTCTACTTTGTCAAGATCAAATCGGTAGTTCCGTCCACCATAACGTTTGGCGCCCAAGCTTGTGCCACCCTTCCCCCGTACACTAAAGACATGCTGGCGAGGTCCATATGGCTCGGTGGTATGCTGCTTGGCCAATTCCTTGGCCTCCTTCAAATGTTTTGTTCTGGCCTTTCCAAATCGCCCATGCTCAGCTAGATTCCTCTACGCAAGTTCCCACCTCTTGACAAAATATTCGTTGCACTTTTAAAATAAGAACTCAACAATTCCAGACACAGGCAACGACTGAACTCCGATGAATACATGGTTGAAAGACTCTGACGAGTTGGTGGTCATGATGCCATACCTAAAACCGCCCTCATCATATGCTAATGCCCACTTAGCCTTCTATTCCATCTGCGCCTCTAACCAGGCCTTGCTCGCTTCGTTTACCATCTTGTCTAGTTCTCTCTTTGTCTCCTTGAACTGGTGCTCTGTACGTACACAACATAGAGCCTTTACCTTATCACAAACCTCCTTCTTCCTCTGACGCCGCCAGAAATTAGCGGCAAAATGTCACGTGCACCATCTGTGCACTAGAGGCGGGAACCCATCGATATGTTCACCTGCAGCATTAAGAATCCCTAGGTGATGGTCTGAGATCAAACATATAGTACGAGATGGGACAAGCACTTGTACACATAGAAGCCGCATGAACCATGACCACGATTCATTATTCTCTCCCTCTGCCAAAGCAAAAGCCCCAATATACGACGAGCAAGGTAACGTGCAGTGAGCTGCTGATGATTTTTCTTCCCCTTATTTGATAGGCAAGTGTGGGGTTAGACCACTTTACTTATCCTCCACTTGCCATCACTATGTCTCTTTCGTGCATTTAACCTCCACATACAACCATTTTTGCATATCACATGGTACCTCAACTCCTGATCCGAATGAGTGATGGTGTACGGCCTATGGTGATACATAGCATAGTCCTAAAGGAACAGCTTCATCTCTAACATTGTATTGAATATCATCCCCCTTGCTAAGGATTTCATTCTCATGGTCATACAATGATTTCCTACACATTCTGAGACCGGTGTCACAAACTTCCATATCCGTCATGGTGACATCCCTATAGTTTAGAACACCACTCAAAGCTATGTTCATCGACCTCAGTTGATAAGCTCTGTCGCTGTGTAAGATGGTGGTGGAACGTACTGCTGTGCTTCACTAATTCTACCCCAAGAATCATAGGGGTACCACCCTCTGGCAAATCTATGACTAGTCTACCTTGAGCCGGCATAGCATGAAGTACCTCAGTTGGTACTGGTAATGGCATAGCATGAATCGGTACTGGCATGGCATGAACCGGTGTTGGCATAGCATCTGCACCTCCTTGGTCATCATCAGAATCACTGCTAACTACATCACCGATCCTATCCTCCTCCTGCTCCTCCTCTTCCCATTCGAACTCATTCACATCAAAGTCATTGTTTATACAACCTACTGGAGTTGAATGAAACTGTTCCTGCGTCAACTGACCGTCCAAATCCATGTTACCCTGAGTTGGTTCTCCTTCGACCCCCAATTCTTGTTCATTGCCTCCAACACCGTCACTGGACGGTCCGTCATGGAGACCCTGCATCCTATACCCATTCTCCACCATCACCTCAACCATGGGCACATTGGAACCTTGGAGCACCCTATTGTAGCGGGATCAGTGAGCAGGGTCGCGTAAGGGCATCAAGACATAGTGTGCCCTAGTCTTCCCACTATCAAACCTCCCCTTCAGTGTGAAATCACTGCCAAACTTTACATTCAAACGGACACAAAGATCGTTGAAGCTAGGAGATTCATCAAACCATTCCAATTCTTCTTTCATATCCTCAAACATACCATCTTCTTTACTAACACTTCCCCCGTAAAAAACTCAGACACAACAATTCATCTACAAAAGCAATTGAGAAAACTTCATCAAGTCGTCTTAATCGTCGTACGTACTATCTATAGTAATATTAATACATATACTAACTATAACTATACTAACTAATCTAATATTAACACCTATGCAAGACTAACTACAATAACTAACTAGACTCATTAACTTTACTAACTATACTAACTTACTATACTACCTATACTAACTAAACTAACTAACTTTACTAACTATACTTTACTAACTATACTAACTTACTATACTAACTAATCATTCAAACAAATTTTGTATCTTAACCCGAAGTAACAACAATTTTGATTCAATCAACAAATACACAAGGGGAGTACCTTGACAATGAGGGGAAGATTGGGGTTTAGCCAAATCCACCAATGGCGACGAGGTGGCCGTCGGCGGCAATGGCCGCCGGTGGCGGGCTTCTTCTGGGAGCAAGAGAGAGAAGGAGAGGGGTGTGGCACACCGCCGGCCAGCCAAGGAAGGGACAGGGGGGCGCAGGTGAAGGAGACGATGGGGAGAGAGGCCAACCGGCGGTAGGGAAGGGGACGCTGCGCCAGCGAAGGGCACGGCTCCTGGAGTAGCCTAGAACAGGAGGAATGGGGAGAGAGGGAGGACGGTGGTCGCGGGGGGAGGCGCGGGCGCGTCTCCCCCTCGACCCGTTTCACTGGAGTGAAAGAGAGACAGTGAGGGGAGTGAGGCCGGTCCGCAGTCCTGTATTGGGCTTTGCCGCGCCGTGGGCCGTGGCGCAGCACTGCCACGCCAAAATCTACGGCGCGACAGTGCCTGCCACGTCAGCGGCCAAGGCCCGGGGAAGTGCCACGTCATCACCGTGTTGTTTGGCTGCGCCGTGGCAATATGCGCTGCCAAAAGTGTTAGATTTGAAAATAAATAAATCAGTGTCAAATTTGAAAATAGTTTAAAAAAAGTGTTAGAAATAAAAAAAAATTCTCCAAAGCATCGTCATTTTGTACTGTAGGCTCTTTTATTAGTGCAAGCAGTTTCCTTTCGGCGCTAGGCGGCCTATGCAACAGCCTTTTTATTTCCTGCTTATTGTTGCACCAATATATTGTACTCCAAACTAGTGAGCTCGATCCGTGTACATACAGTATATGCCAAGGTAACAGATCAGTGCCGTCCGTCCGGCTGGATCTCCACTGCTGCCTTCTCGGCTTTTGTCACTCACTGTGACTGTGAAGCAAGAGAGGGCAAGCATGGAGGAGCCGCTCCTGAGCGCACCGTCGAGCACGGAAAAGCTTCTTCACGGAGGAGGAGGCAAGGACGAGGAGGAGGAGAGCTTGGCGTTGGCGGTGCGCGAGACGAAGCAGCAGCTGTACCTCGCCGGGCCGCTCGTCGTCGGGTTCCTCCTGCAGAACCTGGTTCAGATGGTCTCCGTGATATTCGTCGGCCACCTTGGCGAGCTCGCGCTGGCCAGCGCGTCCCTGGCCACCTCCTTCGCCGGCGTCACGGGCTTCAGCTTGCTGGTGTGGCGGACATCACATCACATCTCCCGCCGTCTCTCTCTCTCGTTTCTCTGATTCATTCTCTCGTTTATGTCCATGCTTTGCATCGGCAGGCTGGCATGGCGTGCAGCCTTGACACGCTGTGCGGCCAAGCGTTCGGAGCGAAGCAGTACTACCAGCTGAGCGTGTACAAGCAGCGGGCCATGCTGGTGCTCGCTCTGGTGAGCATACCGGTGTCGGTGGTGTGGGCCTACACCGGCGAGATCCTTGTCTGGTGCGGTCAGGACCCGGAGATCGCGGCGGCGGCGGGGATCTACATCCGGTGGATGATCCCGGCGCTGTTCCTGTACGGGGCGCTGCAGTGCCACGTCCGGTTCCTGCAGACGCAGAACCTGGTGGTGCCCGTGATGCTGGGCTCCGGCGCCACCGCCGTGTTCCACCCGGCCGTGTGCTGGCTGCTGGTGCGCGCGCTCGGGCTGGGCAGCAACGGCGCCGCGCTGGCCAACGCCATCTCGTACCTCGCCAACCTCTCCTACCTGGCGCTCTACGTCCGGCTCTCGCCGTCCTGCAAGTACAGCTGGACGGGGTTCTCCGCCGAGGCGTTCCGTGGCGTCCCCGACTTCCTGAAGCTCGCCGTGCCGTCGGCCGTCATGGTCTGGTGAGTACCTTGAGTGGTCAGTGTCTCAGTGAGATTCATCAATCGATCCATCCATTCTTGTGCTAGCTTCTTCCTCTCATGATCTCATCATCAGTCCGTTGTATGTGCTGTACTGCAGCATGAAGTGGTGGTCCTTCGAGTTCCTGGTGATGTTCTCCGGCCTCCTCCCCAACCCCATGCTCGAGACGGCCGTGCTGTCCATTTGGTAATATAAAGCCAATCCATTACCCATCTGATCTTCTCATCGGCCATTGCTCATGGTTTCTTCTCCTTGCTTGTAGCTTGAACACCAGCAGCTTCGCATTCATGGTTCCCCTGGGACTTGGTGGTGCCGTAAGCACGCGTGTGTCGAACGAGCTCGGCGCGGGGCATCCGCGGGCGGCCCGGCTGGCAACCCGGGTGGTGGTGCTCCTGGCGTTGGCGGTGGGCGTGTCGGAAGGGGTTGTCATGGTGCTGGTGCGCCACCTGTGGGGGTACGCCTACAGCAACGAGGAGGAGGTGGTTCGCTACACCGCCAGGATGATGCCCCTCATCGCCGTCTCCATCGTCTTCGACGGCCTGCAGAGCGTGCTTTCAGGCGTTGTTCGGGGCTGTGGCCGCCAAAAGGCTGGCGCATACATCAACCTCGCAGCGTACTACCTCGCCGGCATCCCTTCAGCGTTCGTGTTTGCCTTTGTTTGCCGTCTAGGAGGAATGGCACGTACTCTGCCTGCCCCCACTCATTCAACAGTTTCTCTACCCAGCTTCTTCTTTGAATTTTCGATTTGAGATGAGGTTCTTATTATCGCTGCTGGTTTGCACACTGAATGAGCAGGGCCTCTGGTTGGGCATCATGTGCGGCCTGGTGGTGCAGATGCTCCTGCTGCTCTCCATCACCCTATGCACCAACTGGAACAAAGAAGTAAGCATAACAAGTTTTTGATTTGAAGCCGCGCATGCATTTCGTTTGGTTTTCATGTTTTCGTCTTGCTCTGAAATCTGAATCCTGCCGTTGGGTCTGCACTCTCCAGGCGCTGAAGGCCAAGGATCGAGTGTTCAGCTCTGTTCTTCCCCCGTTAGATTAGACATGGCGGCCAGCCACATGAGATTGCCCGGAGCAGACAAGGGGATGCAGACTTGTTGCGACAACACTCAAGGAGAGGGAGAGGCATTGGCACAAGAAACGCTAGTGTGGTCGAAGGAATAATTTACCGATGGCCACATGGCCATGTGGCTGTTGAAGCAGTTTTGTCCGTCACTCTGTCTTCGATGCAGATTTGAGGCATCAACGCAACTAATGATTCGTTCTGACACCCAACCGGAACCGGGCCATATTGTAACCATCATGGTATGTTTAAAGCTGCAAGCAGCAGCTCGATAACTCTATTTTTAGCCATAACTGGAGTGCACAAGTAAATGTTGCGTAGCTCAAAACGTAACATTGGCACTAAAGAAGAACCAACCAAACCAAATAAGCTAACTTAACCACCCACCTCAGAGTTAACATCACCAAAATAGAACCAAGGCGCCGTTCGCTGGTCTGATTTTTTCAGACCAGCCGGCTGGTTACTCTCACACATCACTATACATCTTTCAGCCGCTACAGTATTTCTCTCTCACACAATCAGTCAGTTTCAGCCAAGTTTCAAACCAACGAACGGAGCCCAAATCTCCGCCCCGCCCGTCGGCCGTCATGGTCTGGTGAATACCTTGAGTGGTCAGTTCTCAGTGAGATTCATCAATCGATCCATCCATTCTTGTGCTAGCTTCTTCCTCTCATGATCTCATCATCAGTCCGTTGTATGTGCTGTACTGCAGCATGAAGTGGTGGTCCTTCGAGTTCCTGGTGATGTTCTCCCCCCCCCCCTCGAGAAATCCATACGCATCAAAGGGACATCATCAGTTGGCAAATAGGGGTAGGACAAACTTTATTGTACCTTCAAGCGTTTTCTTTCAAGTTCTTGAATCTTGATGCTTTCAAGAGTTTTGATGAGTAAAGTTTGCCTGACATCGTCTGAACCTCATCCACACACATCCCAAGAAAAGTTTGCTCGATATCCTAGCTAGGCAAGGCATCATGATAACGAGGCCTTGTTTAGATTGAGGTTAGAAATCAGTATTTGACACTGTAGCACTTTCGTTTGTATTTAACAATTATTATTAAATTATGGCCTAACTAGGCTCAAAAGATTCATCTCGTAATTTACAATCAAACTATGTAATTAGTTATTTTTTTATCTACATTTAATACTCCATACATGTGTTTAAAGATTTAATATAATGGAGAGAGAGTAAAAAAACTTACAATCTAAATAAGGCCCGAGCCAAAAAAAAAAAACAAGCACGCCAACATGGATTCTTTCCTTGATGAGAACACTGAGCATATGGTGATATTAACGACGTCACTGGCCTTCTGCAGAGCTGAGTGAGCAGGTTGTGTCCGCATATAGAAGTGCCAGATTTTGAACAAGCCACTAAAGGTACATCTAATTCGTTAAAAAAAACTATAGGGAGATCTAAAGAAACAAGTTTGCGATCTGAAAAAAAAAACACGCGCACATGACCGATAAAAAAAGTCATTAAAACTCATCATAACTAGAGGGTAGTTTGCTTTATAAAAAATGTCCACAAGGAAACACGTAGGCAGGCACACCACTTGAGTACAGTTGCTAGAACTGATCCATGGAGGGCGGTACTCTGCCGCGCTTTGTATTTGTGCGAGAGGCAACACACCAACAAAATTGCTTCAACTTTCCTCCTGGCCGTCCACTCCTTCAGTCCATTTCAGCGTGCACAGCTTTGATACGAAAAACAACGCTATTGTGTAACAGATTGTTAGCTACGAATGCTCAATCAAGTTTCTACTCACTCAATATGCTATTCAGAGTTCAGAGAAGGCTATGAATAGAATATCAACCAACCAGATTTGCATGGCAATGACATACATCAATCGCAACCACACAGATCTATTCAAGCAAACTGGTTTGAAAACTCCTGATGCATATTCAGTTCTCAGTTGAGACTCAATTCTCAGTTGAGACTTCAGGCACAAACCACGTTACCCTGATAACAGATCCAAACTTGCACTAAAAACAGAAAATTCAACTAGTGAACGGTAACAGAACAAAACTACTTGCATCACTAACTGGAGTGCTGGACCTAACAAAGATATTTCAAGTTAAAACTCAATAAAAGGAATTTCCAATAATTTAGCACCCTATTAAGTCTACGTGCTGAAGCCAAATGCTAGCTCAAATGTAGGGATTAGCAGGATCGACAGCTTAAGCAGTAGCTTTGAAGACATCACTAATGCTCACCACCATGAAATTACAAAATATGCCCACTGTTCGCATCGCACCCATAAATTCAAAACAAATCACCTTTTGTAGATTGAATCTTCTATCCACCATCTGATTATAACCAATGAACAATAGTCATATAAGTACATACACAATGGAATATAATAAAAAGTTAAAATAAAACAGAAATGCAGTGTACATGAAAATACAATTTAAATAGACATCTCTACATAAAGAGTTCTACATGAATCCGTTGTAGCAGAACGTGGTTGAGTAAAATTCAGATGTAATATTGAGTTGGATCCACTTTTATGTAGATTCAAGTTGGTGCCAAACGATGAGGAGAGTCCTTAAAAAAGGATTAGGAGATTAAGATATTTATTATCTTCTATGTAACAAATCACAATGGTATCACAATAAATCATTTATGTGTTAAGACCCCCATGTTGCAAGAGGCTCAGAACACATCTCTGCGCTGAACCTCAAAAATTTATTCATGTCTAAATTCCCAGTTTGGGCAATAATTCTGAGCAGGGATTTTTATCCACTGCAGTTGAGAACTCAAGTCCCTTCAACAAAATTAATATCTTATTGATCAACTGCTAACAACATTAATTGTTGCTCATCTAAGTAACCTTAATGAAACTACCATTGAAATTGATCACTAATCGGTAATAAACTCACCGAACTGATCATCTACTGTGATACAATCTACTTTCAAGGTGAAACATATGTTCAAATGTTTATGCCAGTGACAGCAGTGTAAGTAATGAGAATCAAAGTTACAAGGAGCTATCATTTCTACACTACAAATTCATCTAGAGATACGCTAGTTAACACTTTAAACAAATGCCAGAGCCATTCAAGAAAGCATTACTAGTCCACATTGTACATACCAAAGCTAGTACCAACTCCAAACTGATTATTCCTGATCCTAGGTTAAATCTAAATACAGTAGAACCTATTAGGAAATTTTACACTACAAGAACTATCAATTCTACACTACAAATTCATCTAGAATTCTAGATACACTAGATAATACTTTAAACAATTGCCAGAGTCATCTAAGAAAGCATTACTAGTCAACATCGTATGTACGTAGTAATTACCAACTCCAAACCTGATTATTCCTAGGTTAAATCTAACCAAAAAGCTTACCACAACATTTATTAGTTGCAATCTAGTGAAGAACTACGCATTAGACTAAAGGTGAATCTAAATATTTAAATAAGAGCAGAATTCATGAGATGCTACATCAATCTTGTGCCTCTTGTACCATTTGTGACAACAAATTAGGCTGTCCGCTGTAGTCACTAGCCAAGTGCAGTTTCACAAATGTGAAATCAAACTCCCACACAATTTGCATACTTCATGCGGCTACTTCTAGAGATACGTGATAAAGTTAGATCAAATTTTAATTGCATATATGTCAAATTTTACTGCAGAGGAATATAACATTCCGTTCATTGGTTCAGACGTGAAATCCAAGTTTTGGACCTACGAATTCTACAAATTGAGCAGACATCAAGCGGAAGCATAATAACTCAAGCAAGTAGAATGTTATATTACCACATTAATCCAGAAAGGTTTAGTCCACTAAGCTGAGCAACAAATTAAGAACCTCCTTCTTTATGTCCCCTTGACGGACCTTCGCCTTCGCCTCTGCTACTCTTTGCTTCTTGATCTTGGATTCCAGACCTTCTGCCTTCTCATCAGCAATGGACCCAAATGCTCTCTTCAGAGTTTCCCCACATGGATGACGGGTCTCAATCTCCTCAACATAAACAGCAAGGTTGGAATATATCTTCTGCAGTTCATCAAAACTTCTGCGCACACTTTGCACATTAGCATCTCCTTCTGTTTCCTCATCATTTATTTCGCCTTCCTTATTCCTAATAAGAATGCCACCATTCTGATTTGCATTTATGGTTTCCTTTGGTGTCACACTGTCCGTATCTCTATCCATCTTCCCTTTGTCAGTTTTCCCCTTCTTGCCCTTGGCCAAATTACCACCATAGTTGTTCAATTCCTCATTGTGACTTTCCTGCTTCTTACTCTTACTTGGGGAAGCAGTGGTGATAGCCTCCTCTGACAACCTGACCTGCCCCTTCTTACTTCCTTTCTGAGAATCACCACTTTGATTGGCTTTCTGAGAATCACCACTTTGATTGGCAGTACTGGGGGCAGCCTCCTTTGCCGCGCCACCCTTTGCATTCCCATCCATCTTCTCTTTGTTAGCCTGCCCCTTCTTAACCTTTGTAACAGCACCACCCTTTTGAGACGTAACGGCAGCAGCAGCCTCCCTTGCCTTCTCTCCCCAGACTGCTTCTGAGAGATTATACATCTGGAGTCCATCTTTTGTACCTGGCACAGTGCCCGTGCTCACTGCTTTCTCGTACCGTTCCTTTAGCCTTCGCACCTTCTCATAGATATCCGAGTAGGTGCAGTTCTTCCTGACGAGGCGGTCACGAACACTAGCAAGAAGTAAATCAGTCTTTGGCAGCTCACCCTCACTCTTGACATGCGCCGCAAGGGCCTCCAAGATCTTCATCTCATCATCTTTCCCCCAGCGCACATGGCCTAAGGGCGTGGCCTCAGGAGCTGCCTTCTCGGCCTTGCCCTTCTTCGCCTTTCCTGCTGGAGTGGCATCAGGCGCCGGTTTCTCTAGCTCGGCCTTGCCCTTCTTCGCCTTTCCTGCTGGAGTGGCCTCAGGCGCCGGCTTGTCTAGCTCGACCTTGCCCTTCTTCGCCTTGGGAGGAGGGGTAGCCTCAGGCCCCGCCACAGCC